AAAAAAAAAACTGTCACGAGAATGTAGCTTATGCAGTCTTAACAGCCAAACAAATCACGCAGCATGACAGTCGCACGGGGAGCCTTTATTTTCATTATTTCTATCCAAAAGTGTTTATGAGAAGCACTTCTCTACGATGACTGAGCTGAGGGGCTTTCTGAATGCTGGAAAAGGTTTTGTTTGTCACAGAAAAAAAAAGAAAAGAAAGAAAGAACACCATCTGTGTCACTCCACAATCAATTTAACTGGGTTTTGTAAAAAGATTTAGTACTTCAGCCTGATTTCACATTGCCAACCCACTTACTGTTTACTGTATAAGCAGCACTTTTTTTAAGTGTAAGCCTCAAATGATGACAACATGAGAGAAAATAATCATCCTAAAGCGAATTATATGTTTAATTGATTCTGCTGTCAAAACTGTGGCAGCTGCTTATGATGTGAATAATCTTTGAACGTATAAGGGTGTGCAGAGGATTTCATAATGCAGCAGGCATTCCCTAATGTACCCGAATTCATCCAGCCCGACTCTGGGAATCTAAAACTTTTATTTAGCTCATAAGGAAACATGAAAAAACATGCAAAAGTTCTGGAATAAACGGGCGTACTCATCGCCTTGGATATTTTCTGGATTAAAGAGTTGAAAAAGACTGATGTCTGCAGGACTGTATCAAGACAGAGCCATCGTGGCTCCTTCCAAGCCACTGATGTGAACCTCTCTGCTCTTTCCAAGGCTTCAGACTCCAAAGACCTCCAAAATTACGCCTGAGCACTTCCGTGGCCTAAAAACGTCACTGCTTTCCATCAGTTAAATTTTTTTTATTAACAGCAACATCTTAGTTGGCGATGAAGCTCTCGCTTTCTGAAATACAGCTCTCAAAAAAAAAAATCCCACGATGCCACAGAAGTTGGCTCTGGGATGACAAAAACAAAGCTTGCTGTACCTGCTTGGGCGCTCGGAGAACAACCACCTGAATGGTGCCTCTGGTGTTTCCTTCCGACGACATGGACCGCCTCAGGCCCTCCATGGCGGCGTTGTTGGAGCGCCCGAGCAGCGATTCGCCGTTCACCGCTATCATCTGATCGTTTATACACAAACGGCCATCCTGTTGGGAGAAGACGACCGTTAGGTGCCCTTTAAGAGAAAACCTGAACGTGTCCTTTGCGGTCACACTTTATTTACTCAATTTAAATAAAATAATAAAATGAGATCAAAGTGAGCAGAGCGTAAAAAGATTAAAAGGAACTAGAAAGGGTACTGATAAAGTTTGAAAAGTAAGGGAGAGAAATTTGGAGAGGTATAAAGTGTGTGTGGGTGTGTGAGAGAGAGGCCGAGTGGGAAAGAAGAAAATGGAAGAAGGGGGTAGGCAAGAAAATTGTAGAGTTAGCAATCTACTGAGAGCGAGAGAGCCATGATAAATACATAGAGCAGCTAATGGAATAGCCTCCGTGGGCACTAAATCACTTCTAAGTGTTTTAAATAGCAGCCTCTTGTAGAGAGGCAACACAGAATAGTGCCCTGGAGGGAGAGCGAGGGAGCGAGGGAGGGAGGGAAATGAACGATCCAGTGAGGGAGAAGGAGAGAGAGAGGGGATCAAATGAAGAGAGTGATGCAAAAAGGCAATAAATGAAAGAAAATACAAGACGACACAGGGAGAGACTCCTGTGTGTGAGAAAGTCTGAAGATCCCATTACGGTCAGTGCTGCCCTTTGACCCCACCGCATTAACAAGGCACCGTTTAGGCTGACCTCAAAAATGACACCACACACACACACACACGTACGCGCACACCCAGAAGCACACCCAGAGTTTAAGGCCTGGCATCAAATTCAAGGATGGCATCAAAAATTGATGCTTATCCCAAATACGGCAGACGCCTGTGATATTCCCCATTAATTCCTTCATTCTCCATGTAAGCAGCTGCAGCACGCTACATGTAAATTTAATTTGTTTTCTCAGCATACTCTTTGAAATGATCGTGTGACAGGATTAGGGGTAAAGTCAAAGAACTTTCTTTTTTTTATAATATATATATATATATAATTGAGGCCCCCGGTCTGACACCCCTCCTCCCACCCTAAAACTATTTAATGAAAATAGGTTAGATCTCGCCACGTCTCTTCCTCATCTCCTCCTTTTCTGTGCCTGCTGTGTGATGATGTGTGTGTGTCAGTCAGGCTCAGGGGACGCCCGGGTTCCCCCCTCTGCACCGGCCTGCCGCTGCAAACTCTCATCAGGGCCCTTAGCTGCTTTTCATTAGCATGAATCGACGTCGAGGAGGAGACACACGCACACATACAGTATCTACTCTTACGCGCTGCGTTCCTGCTGAGTGTCTACACTTTTCAATTTTCTTTTTCTCCTCTTATTCCGCCTCTTTGCGTCGCTCTCTCGTTCGATACAGCTCATCTCTTCCTTCTCAGATTCCCTCCCTTCTTGCACTCGTTCACCCGCTGTCTTCTTTCATTAGGCTCCTTCCCTCCGTTCCTCGCTGCTGTCTGTCTCTCCTGCCTCGCTACTCTGTCCCAGAGACCAGTTTCGCAGCCAGCCGCAGATCTTACGACGACATTCTGTCGGAGCGCTATCCGCATCGGCAGATGTCTGAAAACTACTTCTGAAGGCACTTTTGGGAGCCGCTGTCTGGCCTGCCTGATCCCAGAACAGCTATTTATCTACAGCGGCACACTCGTCTTTGCGCCTCCTTGTCGTGCAGAGCAGATCTGGGGGCAGCGACGAGAGGCGCAAAGACTTGTGACATTTGCTGGCGGACACAGATTGAGGCCAAGCAGAGGAGTCTCCAAAGTGCTGAAATAGGATGTTTTTTTTCCTGATGCACTCACAACTTGAAGTGAGCACTGAGTGATATAGATAAGACTGCTGCAGTGCTTATGTGACAAGGCCACTTGGGGTCAATGGGTGTCAAAGGTTAAGGGAAACCAAGAGGGGGCGGGGTTGGAAGCAGAGAATGACAGGAAATGGGAGAGAGGAGATGACAGGAAATGACAGAGAAAGACATCAGAAAACAGGGGAAATAGAGCGACTAAATAAAACTAGATGAAACAAAAAGAAAGACAATAAGAACAACCCCCATGACATTTCTTCTGTGTACCTGGGAGAAACAAAAACTGAATAAAACGATCAATCAAAGAAGCCTGAACAGTTTAAGTCTGAGATTTTAAAAAAATTGCAGATCGATTCCTAACCTGTAAATCCCCCAGCAGCTGTTTCTGCTTAGAACAGGGGAAATATTAGCTCATTTCACTGCTTCAAATGACAATTAAAATGCCTTTTTTGTTCTGGTGAGATGGATTTTGTTTTTCTTAAAGAAACATGTCAACATACAGGTCTTCTTCTGTCCTGTAAAAATATAGTTTTTACAGGACTGCATAGAGTCCTGTGAAAAACCAAGTACACTCCATGATTCAGTGACTTGCAGAACTACCTTTAGCAGCAATAGGTTGAAGTGATGGTTTCTCCGTCTCTCACATCACTGTGAACTTTGGCCTGCTCTCCTTTACAGCGCTGGTTTGGGGGACTTTATTGATGCACAGCTCTCTTAAGGTCGCACCAAAGCACTTTAATCAGGTCTGAGTTGGACCGCTTCATTGTAGGTTTTTCTGCTTGCGGTCATTGTCCCGGTGGCCTCATATTCAACTTCTAGAATAATTTGTTATGAGTTTAATGACTGCAAGGTGCCCAGGGCTGCAAAACAAGCCCAAATCATCACCCCTCAACCATCGTGCCTTAGAGGTGGTAAGAAATATGCTGGGTTCACCATTGTACCCAAGGATGCTGCAGCACGCAGCGTGAAAGAGCCAGGGATCGAACCACCAACCTTCCAATTAGCAGTCTATCCTTTCTGCCTCCTTTTTTCCATCTGTACTTTGAGTCTTGTGGTTTCCTAAGCCATTTTTAGAGAGAAGAGGCTTTCTCCTGGGAACCCTTCCAAACAAGCCATACTTATTCAATTAGGGTTAGCAAGAGTTTCCATAATGAAATTACTAATACAATGAATAGCCTTTTAAAATGAGTAATAGGTCAGAGGGTTGGTTGAATATTTGAAATACTAAGTTAATAGTTATAGATGGCTGAAATACTGAAAGTTCTCCAGATCCAGTTTAAAATACAGTCACCTGAATGTGAAAGGTGTTGGAAGAGTTTGTGAGGGTTATGTCAGCTGAAACAGGCTGGGAACCATTTGTTAACAATTACACTGAGCTCACAAAGTGAGCTGTCAGTTAGCCCCCCAGCAACCCTGAACTGGATAAGATGGATGGATGGAAGGAAGGAAGGCAGGCAGGAAGGAAGGCAGGCAGGAAGGATGAATGGATGGATGTTACATAAAAGTGGGATCTAAAGGCCTGAAAACATGGATGTGTCCATTTCATACCTTATAAGCAGCCCCTCCATGAATGATTGACTTGATGAAGATTCCCAGGTCCTCTCCGGTCTCCCTGGACTTGTTCCCCTTTAGGCTGACCCCCAGGCCGGCCGAGCCCGTTTCATTGAGCGGGATCTCGTACATCAGCTGCTCCCTGCCATCCTCCATCACCCGACTGCTCAAGTCCTCCCCTTTCTGAAAAACAGTAAAGAACAGAGGCTCAGATGTTATGTAAAACACTATAATCTGTTCACACATACACCTAGAGCATACTTTACATGATAACTGCTGAGTGTGATAGCTGATGAGTGAGGCAGGAGCACCATACCCAACTGAACTGACTGATAAGGCATGTACCTACAGCACAGTGCACCGACTATACTCAACACCACGAAAAAAAAAAAAGGAGGAGTGAGAGATGGATTAAAGAGATGGAAGGCAGCTGTGGGGAGTGAAAAAAAGACAGAGAGAAAAGGAAAGGAGACAGCAGGAGTGTGTGTTGTGTACTGGAAAGACAGATGAAGGTGTAGCGAGAAAAATAAGCACGCTACTGTAGAGAGGTTATTCCATTTGGAGATGAAAGGCGTAGACGGAGAGCAAGCCATTTCTAAAGGAAACATAATAACCTTTTCATACCTCCTCCTGGAGCCCTGTGGGGGAGGAAGGGGAAGGAGAGGAGAGGAGGGGAGAGGATGGTGGCGCAGAGGAGCATTTAAAAGTAATAACCCGTCCCTGAGGTATATCCACTTCTTCTCTCATTCACCCCCCCACCTCGTTACATTTCGTCCTAATCTCTCAATCTCACTATACGTCCCTCCCTTCTCCACCTGCGGGTTCTTTCCTCTACTTTCTGACGCTCTTTTTCTCCTACACCTTTTCACATCCGCCACCCCACGCCCACACCCTACCCGTCTGCTGCCATTTAATGTGAGGAAAATGACCAACAGCAGCACTGCTCCGAAAATGAGACGAAGGGGAGTGAAAGCAAGGGAGAAAGAGGCGACGGAAAGAGAGAAAAGGAAAATGTCTGTCATTAGAGGACGGCAAAATGGAGAGCAAGCAAAAGGGAAAATGCCAGGTTCAGACACCCAGGGGGGAAAAGAAAGAAAGAGAGCCTGCGGAGGGGAGTCTCCTCAACACCACTTCACTCCCAAGCTTTATTTTTTTTGAGAAAAGAGATGGAAGGTTAAGAGGGGTTGTGTGTATATGCTTGTGCTACACATCTCTCTCTCTCTTTTTATTCTTGCTCGGGTTGAGGCAGAAAGTATGCGAGAGGTTTCAAAAAAATACGGCGGAGACAATAGGCGCTTTAAAGTCAGCTCTGACTCATAAGATAAGTAAATGTCAGATTGGATTTTGTTAGGAATATGCATATACATTATCACCGCCACGCCGGTTGTCACAGCTTTAAAGATCTGAGTACCCACGGCAGGATTGCGGGAGCCTTACATCACACACCTCACTCTTCAGTGAAGCAGGAATCCATGTTCACATTCCCCTCTCATCGTGGCACAGTGCTGAAGGATGTGGGAGTCAAATATGTCCTCAAGTACAATTTTAGCGAGAGAAAAAGAAAAATTCACTCTTCCTGACTCGCTGTGATCCTCCAGACCTGCAACACCGTCTCCCCCCTTGTCAGCGCTGCTTTGTCTGGGTGCTTAATTAAAACAACAGCCCGTTAAAGCCTTCGAGCCTGGAGGGATAGTCAGCTCCAAAGAGAGAGTCAAACCTCTCGACTAAGTGATGGGAAATGAGGGAAACCTAGAAGGCCGTCTGCATGGTAGCAAAGAGGTAAGCACTGATCCGATACACTGTGCTTGGTCAGTTCTATAAAAACAGTCGCCTATTTTCAGGTGCTCAAATTCAGCTTACTTGTAGGCCGCTTTACAAAGAGGTGTTATCAAGTTCTTCTTCTTTTTTAATTAAAAGTGTCACAGCTCTGGGACCACCTGAGAGAAACACCGGTAACAAATACAGCAGGCATCACTGTCATCAGATATGCCCTTGATTAAATCAGAAACAAAGATGAGCTCAGTTGGAGGAGGGTTTCAAAGCGGCATGCACTGTACAGTACAGCAAACCTAGAGCACTTATAGTTTCATCACAATATAAAGAAGAATTAGACAGAGGTGGGAATTAATAAGCATTTGCATCCTGTGTCGTCTTTGGAAAAAGAAACGGTCAGCACTTTTTTTCCATGTGAATATACGATGGCTGCCTTTGATTTCATCCTTATTTGCTTCTCATCTTCTTCCAGTTATCCAGTTCAGAGGGGCTGGAGTCTATCCCATCTGTCACATGATGAAAGGTATGCACTGGATGCACTCACACTCAGACTTACAGCCAGTGTAAATCACCAGCTAACTTGACACGCATGTGTTTGGATGGTGGGAGGAAGCTGACTTGACTCTTGACTTGATGAAGTAAATACTGCCCACCCCTGCAGAGGACCGGGTGGGCAAGCTGACTGGGATTTATTCAGCTCATTTTCATTGTACGTCACCAAGTTACAACAGCAGTCATCTCGAGGCCAAAAACCCCACAACAATATAGACATTAGGAACCCGACAATCCAGTATGAGCAAGAGATCTGCAACAGTAGGTGGAAATAAAGAACCAGCTCACTGCTGCAACCAGCTGGAGTGGGAGTCGAGAGAAGAGCACAGGGAGGTGACTAACAAACCAGACAAAGCACAAACTTTGGCAGAGAGACGACAAAGTTGAAGACGATAGCAGCACATGCACAGGAGAGGAAAGTGGAGGTAGTTTAGCAGCCTGAGCCTATAACCTGATCCAGATGATAAGATATAATGAGGCCCGATCATCCAGGACTTTGTATGTGAGGAAAAGGATTTGAAGGATTTGAAATTCCACTCTGGATTTTACAGGGAGCCAACGAATGAGACAGTCTTTCCAGTCCCTGTTAGTGCTCTCACTACAACTATTAGCAAACCCCAGTAATAAGGACTTACTTCTTATCAAACTGCAATGTCCCTAATTCAGGTCAGGTCTCTCACACCTCATTTTCCAGTCTTGAAAACCGAGGTTAAAGAAACCTCAGTTCAAAAATGTTCAAGACCCTCCTCAGAGTAATATGGATTACCCCAGTATTGCCCTCATCTCCCTGGTGAGGTCAAGAGCTCTCCTTCTCCTATCTCACGGAAAATTCCGTTTTCAGTGCACGTGCACTGAAAATTTCCAGTTTCTCCATTACTCTTGTCACATCATTTTCTTGCATGAAGTAAACTTTAAGGTGAGTTAGAAACATTTCTCATTCTGACGGGCCAACAGCTCGCTGGTGTCAAAGTCTGCACATACATCAGGCTGCACTCAAATGACAGTACGTAAAAATGTGTTTGAGTTAAAAGGAGACTTCAAATCAGAAATAGGGTCATTTCTGCGTTTTCATTTTACATTCTGGCCTACAGAGGTACCCCAATCTGCACAAAACATTCAAAAATGAAACGATAGCTTTATCGTTACACATCTTTAACTCGGTGCTCATAATCAGTTCCACGATACGAATAACGAGCAAAACCCAACCTTCAAAAGTCACAGAATCTATTTTCTGCTCGAGTATAATTTGAGATTTTCAGTCGGGGCTTATTTTTATCAACAAGGCATTTCAGAGTGCTGCTACTCAAAACCAGAGGCATTACAAAGACAATCTGCTTCTTCCTGCTTGAGAGACACTTGAGAAGACTCAGGTGGCAACCTGGGAGGTTTTAAATACCTCTGTGATCTAACTGCAATAACACACGAGGTGAAGGTGGACACATCAGAGCACAGCAGGCTCTTGAAAAAAAGACACTGAGAACTTATTAAAACAAGATGTTTATTTATTCTAACTCACTGCTTATTTATATTTATTTACACAACCAAGTGATTCTCAGTAGTGGTCCAACCACGCAAACCCACTCCCACACATCGCTAATATCCCCGCTAATGCCCGTTCCTTGGGGGCAAATGGCATCCTCCAGGCGAGTGGGGCCCCTTGCCTCTCCCCTCTGCTGTTAGCCCTCAGCAATGGATCTTTAACAAGCTTTTAGTCAGGAGTGAGGCCACCCTCTTCAACACCCAAATGAGGAGACAAAAAGGAGCTTTTTCCTACCCCAGGGCGGGAGGCAAAGAGGAGATGAGGGGAGGAGGAGGGGTGACACACGGCGATTACACACAGAGCCTTTTGTCGCTGAGGATTTCTAAATGGGGGGTTTCAAAGCGGGGGGATTAGCGGTGAGAGCGACATTCAATTAAGATGCGATCTCGCCGCGCTTGACGCCGACGATGGAGCTGCCAATTAATCGCCTTAATGTCTTGCCTCCTCGCCGCTTTACACCTTTACCTCACAATGAAGAGAAAGGAAAATAAAAAATGACTGATTGGGGGATAATTCTGGAACGGCGTGAAGAGCTCCAGACAGGGAAAATAAAAAGAGAAGGAAGAATGACGGGATGTGTACAAATAAAAAGAAGACAGCCAAAGAGGCCAAGTTGATGAAAAAGACAACAGCAACACAGCAAAGTTGTTTTTCTCCTCACAACCTCCTTTTTCCTGTGAGCTGGCCCTGGGCTTGGTGGCAGGAGTGGGTCAGCCATGTGCAGAGTGACCCCCCCATCCTGTCCTTGGCATGACAAACACACACTTTCTCTCACGCACACATATATATCCTGCTCTTGACAAAAACCCGCTTAAAACAGAAAAAAACATTACAAAGCAACTCTCTAATCTCCGCCCCGAAACAAAACGAGGCCCCGTGAAATAATGAGCGCGCCGAGCGGAGGAGATGCAGAAATGCTGACAGGAATGAAACTGTGATTAGAAGTTATCACTTTTTAATTACTCAGAGAGTGTGCGCTGGTGCAGGAGATGGGGTAGAAAATCGACGGCTTTTTTGTATCCTAATAAGGAGGCTAATTCACACGCTTTATTATTATTCTTTTGACTACAAGAGACCAGCATGCCTCCCAGCGCTGCCGAGCGCTTTCACAGAACCGCACGCTGCTCATGAAACATCAGTAACTCCCCTCCCTCCATTGAAACTAATCAATCAGCAGTTCAGCCAGTTCCTCTAAAAGTCTACTTTACTTGTACAAGCCAGATAAAACAGCCTATATGAGCACCGGAGGAGAGAATCTTATGGGTTGGCAGCGGTCGCACGGGGAGTATAAAAACTAGACTTGCAGTGTCATGCTTCGCTTCAACTTGCTGTGCCACCAAGTGCCTGCTCTGCTGAAGTGCCCCTTGGCAAAACACTGGACCCTGATCAGCTGCTCCACAGCTGGTTTGACCTCTAACCTCCCCGTGTGCCTCAGTCAAGGCCTTACTTGTTTAATTTCAATTAAATTTGATTAATTTTTATGCGTGCATACGTGCAGCCTCCTGAAAGTAATGAATTCTACCAAATTTCACAAAGACATTGAAGTTCTGGCACAAAGTGAGCACCGCGTTAGGTCAGTGAGGCCTGATGGACCGACAGATCAGCTGCTCTCAGTGTCAGCCCACATCAGCTGATGGATCAGCTGAAAGCATCCTCCTGACTAATTGCATGTAGGATGCAATCTTTAAGGCTACATCTACACTAATCCGGATAAATTTGAAAACGGCGTTTTCGTCTAAAAACGCTCTGCGTCCACACAATCGTTTTCATCCACACTGAAAACGCTACGTTCCTGTAGTGCGCACGCATGAAGACTATTCGACCTGCGTCATTTCCGTCAGCCGTTTGTTTACTTTCCGGCTCTTTGACACGTCGAGGTTTATCTGGAGCATCTGGAGCTATGTACAAACTGTTACAAATCTTTAATAGGGCTGTAAAAATTGGGAACAAACAGAACAACTGCTGTACAATGCCGTCCGCCACCTTAGTTGAACTGGTCACATGACTGCATCATATGACTAAAATGCATCATTGTTTTCAAAAGCCTCTGTTTTTGCAGTCTAAATTTCAAATGTATCCACCTTGGAGAGCGTTTTCAAAAAGCTCAGTTTTCCTTAACCAAAAACACCGCTTCAGTGTGGACGAAAGACGAAAGGACGAAAGAGAAAAAGATGCGTTTTCAAAGGAAAACTTATTAGTGTGGACATGGCCTACGTTGGTCAGGCCTGCTGTGACATGCAAGCCAATTTGCAACCCACCTCCACCCCAGCTCCTCTTTTACAGGCTATTTCTGATTAGACCTGTCACTGACACCTTGCTCTGAGTCATAAAACCAAATATAAATTAGCTGCAGATGAAAACAACAACCACTGGATGTAAAACCACTGTACTGAACTACAGACACTATATTGATAATCACTTCACCTGAAAAACTGGATTTGTGCACTACTCCACTACTTACACCCTGACACTAAGGATATTCCATCAAGCACCACTATGGGTTTAAACACAAACCAGCAAACCTAAACAATCCAGTGGCCATATATTGTTAGGATTAGTTTTAGTGCTAAAAGGCATGAAAAGCAGCAGGTATTACAGCTGGGGGGGATACACTGTTTACGATGAACTTCTAGAAAAATAAAGAAGCAAACACTTCACCCGTTTTAAGTTGCTCAATGCTCAGACTCCTCTACATTTACATAAATACAGTGAGCTTCTCTTACGTCGATTTCCTCCCCTAGAAGCTGTCTTTGTACCACGCAAGAGAAAAAAACTCCCTGAAATCTAATCCGAGAAGAGAAATTTGAAAATGTGCACCATGAACATTTTGTAAGGCCTCCAAATGCTTTCGATTTCTAATGTGAATGAAATGAATGGAATGCTGAAGGTCACAAAGAAACACTGTAATACAAATTCCTTCAGACTCCGTTTGAGCTCAAACGTCGGACATTTGACACCAACTCCTGGAGCTCCGAAGAAATCGGGCTACCAGGAGAAAAACACGGCACAGACTGGGTGTAACAGTGATATAAGATACTTTCATACTCCAAAGAGGTTCTTTCATAAAAGCACTGAGAGAGAACAGGGTCATAAGGGGAGCCAAGCAGTTTTTCTTACACTTTAAACATATCTGAGCTTTACAAGTAGTGTAAAATGGCTTCCTTGAACCTTTGTTTCAGTGTCAGTTTCAGTCAGACTCTGGATACAAGGACACACTATCTGTGCACTAATCTATCCTTTCAACTCACTGTACAGCTCTGACAGGGATACTCGAGTGTTTTCCATGCCGCATCTATGCAAAATCCAACACAAACAACACAAAGTCCTTAACCTGTTTTCAGGTTTCACATAACATCGCATCATCGACCAAGCGCACGCAAACGCACTTTCCTTAAGTGATCCTTGAACCGAGCAGACAGATAAATGTAGAGACGGGCATTTTCAGCTGAACAAAAATGTTTCTGCTCAAGAGCAAAATGAGCTTTGATAGATACAAAAGCTCATAATGCAGACGAATTACCTGCAGCAGCAATACGATGCTGGTCGATGGACTCGGCTAATTAACCTCAGCAGCTGCTGGATGTAAAACCGCTGTGCTGAACTACAGACACGAATGTTTGCTGTGTGGATGCATAAGGACGCTTTCTACAAGACGTTAAAGCCTCTAAAGCATGGAAAAATAATCACTAGTCGGGCAGGCACTCAAACACATCCTTAGGATGGAAGAGGCAGACGGGCACTTTTAATGTGTCTGCATCTTCTTGATATCCGACCACCGGCACGAAATTCCACAATAATTGAGTACAAGCATTTGGAAACATCCAGTATCATTAAGGAGAGCGCAGGAAGGTGGGAGGTGTGTCCTGTAGCATTGTGTGTTTAAGTGTGCGTTTGCTCATTTGCATGCATTTAACTGCAAACTTTTTCTCTGCAGTTCTTTCCGCACCTGCGTATTTATGTTTTTTGTTTTTAGTGGGGAGGAGTCTGCACATCTAAAGTCAATCAATAGAACCACTAGAGAGAGAGTGTGTGTAGTGTCTTTGTGAGTCTATCTCTAAGTGTGTGTGTGTGTGTGTGTGTGTGTGTGTGTGTGTGTGTGTGTGTGTGTGTGTGTGTGTGTGTGTGTGCGTGTGCTTAGGGGACATCAAAATGTCTTTGAGGTGGAGGACTGTGCTGGAGATAAGGGCCAGATCTCACGGGGCACCAGCAACTTCAACAACTTCGACAGATACAGGAGTGAGAGGCCCCCCCTCCCTCCCCAACTCTTTAAGTCTCTCTCTAATGCACAAATACAAGCAAGTGTTAGATGAAGACTGTAGAGTCTCTTCAAAGTGCACTTGTTATGCCAAGACTGCTGGGCCATTAATGAGGGCAAACTATTTTCGGAAGCAGCAACTTAGCTGTTTAAAGATGTGCGATGTGTTCGGCGCGCGCGTGTGTGCGCGTGAGTTTTATATCAAGGTCTAAGTGTTCGGGAGTTTAAGTGTGCGCAGCTCGCCTAGGTGTGAATATGCATCAGTCACTACAAAGCCCCCGCGCGTCTTTCTCACAGTGCTTTGAAGTAATGGGAAGGGAATAATCAGAATAACCAGAGGACAGAAAGGAGAGAACAGGCGAAAACATCATTTACGCAGAGCGAGTGACTTTCAAGGGGCCAGCTGGCTTTCTGTGTGTGTTTATTGATAAGATGTCCCTTGTGAAGCTCGGTCACATTGTGCCGGCTTCTGACCCCGCCGGCCGCAACAGGTAAACGGTCACTTAACACCCGGGGCGTGCCGACAAGCATGGACACACTCGCGCGTTTCCTCTGGGGCCCCGCTGTGGCTTGTGTGTCTGAGCGTGTGTGTGACTTCCTCTGGCATCACTGTGTCAACAAACCAGAGAGGAACAGGAAGGCCAGAGCTCGTGCTCCGGGTGTGTTTGTGTGGCTGTGGTGCAAAAAAAAAAAAATCAAGATGAAGAGGATTTGCTCCTTTGAAAGGAAAAGAAAGGGAAAATGTCACAATGTAGGGATGAAGCAGAGACCACCAGAGAAAGCAAGTGATCAACAAAGAAGAGTGAAGGGACGTTGTGTGGATGCTGCGTTTTTGCGTATTCACGCTCTCTTACCAGCTCCCTAGGCAGGAACATGTCCTCCTGCCGAGCCACCACCAGAGACACGCTCTCTCCCTGCTTGGTGCTGCGCAGCATGGCCACCAGCTCCTCCTGGCTACGGCCTGTCATGTCTACTCCGTTTACCTACACACAAACACACACGAGACGGGGGGAAAAAGGCAAACACACAAACAGGAGTAGATTAAAGCTTAGTGTATTATCCACTGGCAGTGCTCCACTAACACGTATCGAATGAAAGTAACAGAGGATCAGATGGAGATGCTTCTGTGTGTGGGCTGGTTCTCCAAAATGAAAATAAAACATATGTTCTTGTGTTTCTCTGCGATAGCTTGGCTATATCGGTCTAGCTTAGGGGTTCTAAAAATGGCATCTGTGACACACAGCCATGGGGTCCACAAAATAATTTGCTGTAAATCATAAACACTAGCTGTTTGATAAAATAAGTGTTTGGTTATCAGAAAAGCAGATTTTAAAAAATATGCTCTAATTAAAAAGAAACACTGCTCAAAAACATTAAAAGCATCAAGTCAGTTGAACTTGTGGGATATTGATCTGGTCAGTTAAGTAGCAGGTGGAGTCTGTTTATCAGTTTCAGCTGCTTTGGTGTTAATGAAACTAACAGCAGGTGCACTAAAGGGACAACAATGGCACGACCACTAAAACAGGAATGGTTTTTACAGTTAGAGGTTACTGACTTTTTTCCTTCTTCATCTTTTCTGACTGTTTTTTTAAACCTAGTTTTGCATTTGGCAGAGGTTACACAGGTATACCAACTCCTCCAGGATGGTGCATCAATATGTGCCATTGCCTGAAGGCTTGCTGTTTCTCCCAGCACAGGAGACAGATTCCAGGAGACAAACAGTTACTCTAGGAAAGCTGGACAGGGCCGTAGAAGACCTTAAACCCATCATCAGGACCAGTGTTTGCTCCTTTGTGTAAGGAGGAACAGGATGAGCACTGCTAGAGCTACAAAATGACCTCGGATAGGATGCTGGTGTGAATGTCTCTGACCAAACAATCAGTATCAGGGACCAAAATATCCTAATGGGCCTTGCACTCACTGCCCGGCAACTGGCATTTGCCATAAGATACCAGAATTGGCAGGTGTGTTTTCCACAGGTGAGAGCAGGCTCACCCTGAGTACACGTTGCACACCGTGTGATCCAGAGAGTTAAACTTCCTGCTGATAACGACAGGTCTCGGCTCTACTTCGCACACATTGGATGATCTTCATAAAAACCTGTGTTTTACCTCCAGGATGCGGTCTCCTGGCTGTAGGCGTCCATCCTTCACTGCTGCACCTCGCGACAAAATGCTCTTCACCAAGATGGGCCCCGGCCCTTGGACAGATGAATCCCTTGTTACCACGGTGAAACCCAGACCCTCAGAGCCTGTGGGAACGAGGCAACATGAGTCACACTGTGCACGGGGGATGTCTCTGCTCCTGAAAATGAGACTTAATTACAAATTTTATGACTTTTTAATTTCATTTTAATTGAATTTCCCTCTCATCATCCCAGTCTTTCACTTTTCTCCTTCTCCAAGTTTTCTCCCCTCTCTTCCTCTCCTGAACTCTGTCTGCAGTCTGCGTCTTCTCCCCATTAACTACTGTTTAAGTGCCTGTTTCCCTATGGGGGTTAGTTGCCTGGCTCAGCCTCTGAGCCCCCGGGAGCCGGCTTCTCTCCTAGCCGGATTAGACAGACTCTGTCTTTAATTTCACGTGTGAGCAGGCCGAACGGTGGCTGATGAAGGGAG